ACCTGGCCTATGTGTGCTAGAACCTAGAGCAAATAAGTTCCGGGTGTTGGCAAACGCGGAGGCGGGAGACACTGTCACTGCTGACCACCTGCTGCAAATGGCCAGCCTAGCGGCAGAACGCAAACCCACCCGACCCTAAAGTTTTTCAGCAACAAAGCCTGCGCTTCTTCCATGGAGGCAATTTGCTGTCCTGCCACACAGCTTTGCAGCAGCGTAAGCAATTCTTTGTCAGGTCGACACCAACAAGCTGATAGCTCCTTCCCAATCGTCGCTTGTCATTGCAGTTTCAAAGCGAACCCAGGAGGCCAACCGCATAGGGGCAGCGATTCGATCGCGGCGAGGAACAACAGCGGGGTGTGTGAGCTTCAGAGTAGCCAGACTGACTTTGCCTGTAGGGAGCTGGCACTGTAGCCAGTGCCAGTAACAGTGTTTGTGCTTACCCATCTACCGTGCAGAGTCTTCTACATACGTGACATGCAGGGATCGTTGCAACATGTCAAGATCGTCAGCTGTCGGCTTCCAGTCACACAAGCAATCTTCGGCAGCATGGACAAGATATTAGTTGCGCCTGTCAGGCTCTGCAGTGGCAACGAGTGCCGCTAATACACTCTTCGGCATTGCAATGGCGCCTAGGCGCGCTGTGATTTGACTGGCTGGCCAGAGGCAACGAATTGCTAAGGCAATCACTGCTCCAGTGCAGCTGCCTGCACTAAAGCCGTTCACCGTAAAGTGGGTCAGGTCGTCCTGCTCAGCCGGCCGAAGACACCCAAGCACTGGCAAGTAGGCAACAAGTCGAAGCGGCTGTAGCGAAAGTAGTTTCCACCAAAGACCACTGAGGAAGGCCTGGTGTGGCAGCCGTCGGTGAGCTGGAGCAGCCGGGCTGCTTTCAGCACATGTTGCGTACGTTGGTACAAGAGGGCTGCTTTGCCATACCCGAGGTCTTCCCATTTCCGGCAAGGGTTCTGCGTGAGCGAGAATAGAGTGGCGACTTCGTGTACCCCTGTCGAACAGCCATAGGCAACACCATACTCCTGCTCTTTAGTGACATCTGCGGGGGAGAGTGACGGCCCGTAGACTTGACTTTCTCCCACCGGCGGACACATGCAATGGAAGTGTGGGGGGACATCCCCTTCAAGGGCTCCGCCCCCAAGACCACCACAATTGATCTGAAATGCTCGGTTGCGTGGCAGTGCACTGGCTTGGAAAAGGTGTTCCCCTGGCAATGACGTGACTGTGCATGGCCCCGTTAGCATAGGGAGCACCGACAGTATTCCTTGCTCGAAGGTGGCACGAGCCCAGCTGGTGATCCAAGGAGTTCGCTCTCTCCCTTCGGGGGTGAGAGCCTTTGGATGGGATTGCCGCGGCCACTTGATTGTACCGCCAGGACCAAGTTCATCCGGGCTGGTGACTGGGCTGGGCCAAAAGTGCTTGCACATGTATAGTCCATACAAGGACCAGACCATGCACAGGTCAAGGGCAGTTTGCATCGCTATCCCGACAAATGGGGTGAACATAGTGCCACTTATGGCTGTGTCACTCGGATTGACAGGTGGTCTGGCTCTAGAAACTAAGGCAAGGCGGCATTCCTGGAGGCTCTTCGCCAGGGCCGCAGCAGTCGTTTCATACTCCAGTGGGCTGTGCTTGCTGCGGTTGCCTATCGAAATAACCAAGCCTGCATTATATTCCAAGTGGGCCTCTGTGAAGAGCAGCATGCCAATACCCGCACAGGAGCTGGACTCAGATCGCACACACCCTATTAGGTCAACCCACTGGTGCTGCTGATGCGCCAGCTGGAGTAGGTCTTGCACTTCAAAAAGCGTGACTGGTACACAGTCATTGTCAATGAGTGCGAAGTGTTGAGCGGGGTACAGGAAGCGTGCTGCCTCTAGGACAAAAACCCCTGCCCAGTAGTATGGAATCTTGTGAAGGCCAGTAGTAGCATCTGCACAAACCCAAAGTATGTCAGTTGCCTCTTCTTGGGGACCCACTAGGCACCTACGTGAGGCCCACCATGCTGCAAAAGCCGGCCAATGAGGGACATCTGCCGGCATTCGGTTGTCCACTATTAGATAGATCATTTGATTGCTCATGATAAAATCTCGATGCAACATGAGTGTCTGAATAATGGCAGTCATATCAGGCAGGTCTCCCTCTGCTTCCAGTGTGGCATATCCGTCGTCCTTTTTGGATGGCTGCGCACGGACATCTGACAACACGAGGGTAGGTCGAGCGGAATCAAGGCCAAGAGGACTGCAAAGGGTATCATGCATTACCATTGCTGCATAAGCATCAGCCTGGGACTGTGTCACACTAGCCTCCGTACCCCGGGCAAAGTTGGCCTGACCATCTGCTGTAAGCCAATCCGCATGGTCCCGTGTGAATGCAATAGGCACATGGACTCTATCTTCCGCACTATCAGTTAGGTCCAGCGAATTACTGTCCTCCATCCATGGATCATGTGACATTAGAGTTGCTCTGCTCGAAAATACGAGCGCAGCTCCCGCCAGCTAAGGTTGGCAGTTGCACTGACTGGCGCGAGCGAAAGAAAAGGCGACGAGGGTGACGTCAGCTAAGGCTGACCCCACTCCTGCATGCATGGTGCTACGACCTGCTGTGAGCCAAATGTTACGGCATAGTGCGTCTGCAGGAAAGCAACTGCATCTAGCTTATGGCGGGGGGCCCCCTTCCAAAAACGTGTTAAGAAAAAGGCCAACCATGTTGCTGCAAAAGCATGTCACAAGGACCATGTCACTACTCTATTGGTCATGATCATCTGCATGCGGGTGCAAAAGGGAAAGTAACCAGGCAACGTACACTAAGCCACACAGCTGGGAGTGCAAGTCTGTAAGGGGAGTGAGGAGGGCACCCTGCACATCATGAGGCATGTAGCCCACTGTTTGTTCAATCTCCTGTACCAAAGCGTGCAGACCTTGCACTCTTGCATGTAGCGCCGATTCGATCTGATGGTGCGTGCGTTCTGTATGACGCTGAGGGGGCGCCCGTGCCGTAGGCTGCGTGTCTACTCGAAGGACCTGCTGCTGCTGTCTGTCAGTAGTAGTCCAGAAACCCACGCGCCGTGGGAGTGAGCCTGGAAAAGGGCGTGTTTGCAGAAAGATGTCGAGAGGGTCTGTGTTCTCTGTAAAGATCCTAGCATTCACCGAATCAGCCAACACAGTGAGGAGGTGGTTTTCGTGGTGCTGTATATGCACAATCATCCTGCGGAGCCGAGTTCGCTGTGTGCCATACGTTGTGGCCCCCCCTAGTATTGATTGCAATACAGCCCTGATGGTAGAGCGGGATGATGGCACCTTCCACGGTTGCCCGAAGCTTTAGCAAGGCTGGCGGAAACTCAAACCCTTCCGTCCATTCTGGGAAAGGGGTATTTGCATTTTCTTTGACTGCGTCCACTGGAAAAAAGTGCAGCAAATAGCACTGCGCCCTTTGCCCTCGATAAGTAAATTGTACAATGAGGTCTAGAACCCCATACCGGATATCACCATGGTTGAGCTCAAAGCGTACAAAATCTGTGACATCGACATACGCGCCATCATCGGCCAGGAACAGAGGTTCTGGCTGTGGCTGCATTGCTGTTTCGCTGTGCCTGTGTGGCCTTGCCACAGCGTGCGTAAGCGCAAACCGGGCTTCTACCCTGCCAAAGAAGGCCGGCCGGCAATTTGTCTCTATCGCTCTGAGCCAAAGGTCTGCAAAAAGCAAGAAGAGACACATGTTCCGGGGGTCCTTGCCAAAATGGGAAGAGGGGCAATGGTTCCCTCTTGTGGGTTCACTGGACAGGGCACTTCTTTGGGTGCGCAAAGGCACGCGGTGGTGGTAGATGCTCACGCGTTCCGTCTTCCGCAATACGATATTGGATATGCCCGTGTGAGGGGCACTGTTGTACAGGGAGTCCACTACTAGCTGCCTGTCGGGGAGGCCGGCCTTCTACCGGGTCCATTGTTGGCGGCATCTCCCCATCACCAGGGTCGCGAATTCGGGCCCACTTAGTCAGTCAGTCACTCTTTGTTTCACGCGTCTCACCTTGTACAGGCGAAACTCTGCTACATTGGTTGTTGGGTTTTTTGGTGCTTGTCCTTTTGGGGTGTTTTTTGGGTTGGGTTTTTGGGTTTGTGTTGCTCTCCCCCACCAATGAGCAGAGTCTCCATCCTTCTTATGCCTGGGCGCACCACATGGCGTCCGTACTCAGGGAAAAAAGAGGTGGGGGGAGTTCCTGCCTTTCGTGCAAAAGAGGAGGGGTCTACCCCAACACTGGAACCCAACAGGAATGCCCTGTCCTGATGCAGACAGTTGTCATGTCATTTGGACGCAATCTTGGGCAACCTGGCAGTTTTTCGCTTTTGATGACGTGGAGTTGGAGCTGACTTGGTTTGTGGTCATTTGTTGGTGCTTTGCTTTGACCAACTTGGCAGTGCAACAGTTGAGAAGGTTTGATGTGGCTAGACGTGGCTACAGAATGCCTAGAGAACCTTTTGGTAGTGCAGCTGCTTGAAGCAGTTCTCTTTAGTTGTGTGTAGGGTCGAGATGGCTGTGAACAAGCTTTGGCTCTGTAAAGAAGAGTTTGGCAAGCTTTGGAAGAGCTTTGAGAAGCTTTGAGAAAGAGGGAAACTGCCCCTTCCGTGCTTTCACAGCCTTCTGTTTCATTTCTGTTTCACTCCTCACCTTTTGTTTGAAGAGTTGACTGTTTTCTCAAGCTGTTTTTACTTCCTCTTACAACGCGCGCACCGATGGGCAGAAAAAAACATGGAAGAGTCCGTGCTTTTTCGATGTGGCGCAGTCGCTTAGATCTGAATTTTCACAATCAATGTCGATGACCAGTGCGTTTTCTCAGACAAGGCTTCATTGAAGATCTCCAGCCTGATAGAATGGTATTAGAAGCCTATTCGGAACTTGAGAAACTCGGAGTCCTTTAGTGGACAACAACTGCGATTTTGGTGGTTCGTCTTTGCAATTCCCTAGCAATGGAATTGCAATGCCACGGCGATGCAATGGTTCCCTTTGCGTCTTACGCCTGGGCCTCCGAATTGGTGCCACAGAAGTTTCAGGCCGCAGCAGCGCGTCCGTTGCAGTTTGGATCAACCCGCACCGGTCGCCGCAGTCGCCGCGGCACGGCATTTGCCGCCACCGAAGGCGGGAAACCGCGCAGGCTGCGGTGTTTATCGCCGAGGACATCCCATAGCACGTCTGCACGGTCGGGTTGGGGCCTTTCTACCCTCGATTTGCCAGCGTCTAAACGAATTTTTTGCTTTCATGGGGTGGTTATTTGCGCAGCCAGTTCTTTTTTGCAGCTCGATTAAGTCACCGCAACATTGGAGCACACGTCCCAGCCTTTTACGCGGCAGGCAGCGCACGACAGATTTGGATAGATTTGGGAATTTTGAACAGATTTGCGCGAAGCGCTGGAACGCTTGTTGTTCAGCACGTAGCAATGAAGAGTCAAGTTGCAGATTGCAATCAAATTAAAACCAAGTCCAGTGATTTTTTTCAATGACATTGTAATGAGACATTGACGAGAAAACTATATACACCTATATATATGTATATATATAGTATATGTATATGCACTCTATCCCAAGCAGATGAGCATCTTTACCGCTCAAGATCATTTGGCTCGAGCGCCCTCGCATGCACTTCGCTCTCGAGCTTTTACGAGAGGCTCGGTGGTTTTGGCCTTCTCCCGCTTCGTGTGGAGGCGGCATAAGCTGGGCTCTGGCGCTCCTGTGCTGCATTCTGGCCTTCTGCATAGGCTGTTGTTGTGGGGGGACAGTTGTTCTCTTCTCCCTGTCCTCGCGGCTGCGGAAGGCCGTTTTGTGGTTGGTGGCAGGGTGCGCATCGAGTGCACTCCAAGTTGATCCTGCACCCGCGACTGAGGTGGTCCGGCGGCGGTTGGCCCAATACCGAGGTGATTAGTGTATGCTCCCCCAAGACTCGGAGGTGGACGAACTCGCTCTCGAGGTTGGTCAACTGAGGATTAGGGTTTCCAGGCGAGAGGGCTATAGCGGCTCACCTTTACGAGTCAGTGCTTCAGCTTCCTCACAGCCTTCCAGTTCACAGCTCCCCAGCCAGGGTTCCCTTGCAGGCCCTGAAGGGGCCACCGGGCCTGTGGCCCAAGAAGACGGAGTGAGCCTGCATTCTTGGTCGGAAGTTGGACCAGGGCAAGAGCAATTCCGTGCAGCGCCTTGGACTCAGGAGTGGTTTGAAGCGCTGGCCATTGCTGATTCACCTTCAAGCCTGGAACAGTTGGACTTGTCACCCATTGCTTATTTGGAAGCAAGGTTGAGGACAACAAGTGCTGGGTGGTCACCACGGGCGAGGCTAGCCCGGGCTCTGCGGGCAGGTGTGCTCGCCAGGCATTGGCTGGACAACCGGCCGCTTGAGGCCGCAAACATCGGGGGGCCGACTTTGCCCTCGAGATTCTATATCGTGCTCAAGGCTGGACCTGGACTCGAGGCTGGCTGGACCGCTGATTATACCACCTACCTGGCACAGGTGTGCCGCCAGCCTCACGTCTTCTGGCCGGGAACGATCAGTCAAGCATTTGCATCAAGAGCTGAGGCAGACGCCTACCTGCTTGGCGCCCAAGAGCCATGGCCTCGGGCGCTTCCGCTCCGCCCTTGACAGAGAGTGCTGTGCGGGCCCTGTTGGACGACACCCCTCCGACCGGGCCCCTGCCAGGGGTGTTTTTGGTGCTTCCAAATCGGGAAGATGGTTCTGGCCTCCGAGCTCTCGGCACGCTGATCAGGGTTCGTGCAGGCGGCTTTATGGTGGCCCTTCCCGACCTTGGCGAGGTCGCCGAATTTCTGCAGTCTCTGACCTCGGAGGAGGGTGCAGAAGATCTGATAGCCATGTACACCACCGAGGTCGAGATGGAGACCATGCGAGGAAGAGGCCTTCAAGTTGGACCTTGCCTCTTAGCAGATGTGCTCTGGGCTTCCGTGGGGCACTTCAAGAAAGGTCATCCTTTGCGGAATCCGTCCGCCTACGAGGTCCTCCGGTTCACCCAGGGAGGCACTGCTTGTCGCCCTCGGCGTCCCGCCCTGCTGGCGTGTTCGGAGCAATGGATCCACGAGATCATGGACGACGACACTGCCGGCGACTATGTTACTGGCGAAGACGAGATGTGGCCAGAGCACGCTGCTTCACTGGAGGACCCTCTTTCTCCGGGGGAAGATGTGGCGGCAATGCAGCGGCGGATCACACAACTGGAAGCAGCTCTCCAGGCTCGACCTCCTCCCCCTCCGGGAGGCACCTTTGCTCAGGCTTCAAGATCTGGTCCTGCTCCACCTCGAGGAGTTCTTTTTGGAGGCTCGCCAGCAAGCAGCCATCAGGTGCCCCCTCAAGATGCCGTCGAGAGGCTAAGAGCTTTGGCTGGCGTCGCACCTGTGAGGCTGGGCGCACACGAACGTGCCACCAGAGAACAACGGCCGGAGAGGATTCTAGAGTCGTTGCAGCAAGAGGCCGGCTTAGAGGCCGCCGAACCCGCAGAGCTCGAGGAGGGCATTGCAGAGCTGGAGGCAGCGGTGTCAGATCCGCTCCAACGCATGCTGGTGCTTCAGATGAAGCAAATGGCCTTGCTGACCCGCCAACAGACCCAACGCCAGCCGCTGGACCCACTTGCTGCCGCGTTAGCTGGAGGTTCAGACGGGCAAAACACGGGCAGTGGCAGTGTCAAAGGCTGTGCCGCCAGAGAGGCTTATCTGAAGGTGATGCAAGACCACGGCAAAGTGGCTATGGTCGTCATGGACCACGCTTGTCGGGAGCTGGGTTTGGAGAGCAGTCAGGTCGGCCCAGGACTCATGAAAGAATACATCGAGAAGAAGTGCCCGCTCGGGGACAATCGCCTGTTGACGCAGCAAGCGTACCTCTGGGCCTTCGCCTGGGAGACCGGCTTCCGTCTGAACGATGTGGTGTTGATGGGGGTCGCCAGCCGGGGCCTTTTGTTCATCGACCAAGCGGCCACGGACTACGGCAAGACGAATTTGGCTTGGCTGCTCACAGCCTTGCCAGATCTCCAATTCAGCATCGTGCAAAGGAATCGGCATCGCCAGAGTCTGACTCCTTACAGCCGGCTGGCATCTGCCAGCTGGGTGGGGGCAAATGTAGCCTTCATGAAGGATTTGGATTACCTCGAGACGAAAATCAAGAGCACGAACAATTTCAGCCTCACCAAGGACGACAAGGGGGGCGGAGAAGACACCGCCCCCACTCAAAGGAAGACACCATGGAAGCCAAAGAGGAAGAAAAAGGAAGAGAGCGATGCGAGCTGAAGCCTGTGACCGCTGCTTCACGGTCAGCGCACCCCTCCTGTCCCCCCTTGCCGACCTCTTCTATGCCAGAGCGGAGGAATTGGATTCCTACTGCTGTCTTCGGTCGGGGGAGACTCGAGGGTGGCACAGCTGACATTTCCAAAGGTGAAGCCAAGGCGGAAACTGGGGGCAGTTCGAGTCAAGTGAAAGGGAAGAAGCCTTCATGCGAACCTGGGGCACGTTTGAACCCTCAGATCAAAGGAGAAACCTTCCCGCAGCCAATTAGGTGCATCGAGTTGGTGGCTGCTTCACTGAGGACGTCCTTGGCGTGTCCCAAGCTAGGGTCGTTCATCCAGAGGAGTTTGACGCCTTGCCGCAACGCTTCAAGTTCAGGTCACCCTAGTGGCGACCTATGGCCGTGTCCCCCACCAACCAGTGGTTGTTGGACACCTGCCAACTTAGTTTCTCCGCGCCGACGGAGGCGCCAGCGGTTCTATCGTGCAAGAGCTTTGTGCCTGCAACACCTGGTGATAGCTTTGAATTGGATGAGTTTGGGTTGCTGCACCTCACCTCCTGAGCGCGCCCGGGTCGGCTACCCGATGACGCCTGCTCAGCAGGACATGCTCGAGCGGCTTGAGGATCTGATAGATTACTTCCTGAAAGGGGAGGATGTCTCCTATGATTCCTTGGGCAGGGCCGGCGAGAAGCTAAGCAAATTGAGTGCACATTCGTTTTCGCTTTTTGAGTCATCGTGTTCATTGAGCCTTGGTGACATTAGTAGTTTTTTAAGATCCATCCATGCTTCATTTGATGCATACTCGAAACCACGTTCAAAGACACCCCAAAGTGGCCAACAAGATGCTGGAGAGCCCCAGGATTCAGAGATCGAGTCAGCAGACGTGCCCCGGCCAACGAGACCTGAAGTCAAGATCCCAAGCAACGCCTGCCAAGCTAAAGCTGTTCAGGCCTCACGTATAAAGTGGAAGCTTGCACCATCTTTTGACCCTCGTCCTTTTTTAAGTGACGGCATTGTTCGGCGGGCCTTTGAGGATCCTGATTTCTTGAGGAAGCCGGAGGGGCTCTGGCCTCGTATGGCAAAAGCGCAGGTCCATGCCACCCGAGATGAGGTATTGGCACTAGCATCCAAGTGGGACGCCCTGGGAGCCTGTCAACTGGTGAAGAAAGAGGAAGTTCGAGCTGATGAGACAGTTGGCATGTTCGCCGTCCCCAAGGACGACGAGTTTGACAGGTTGATTCTTAATCCAACTGTTGTGAACTCCCGTAGCTACCCGTACTCCCGATTCACCAAAACGATTGCTCCGGGGTATCTCATTGCCCTGATTCAACTTGCGCCAGATGAGCGCTTGGTGTGCTCCTCGGATGACCTGTGCGAATTTTACTATACGTTCAAGGTCTCTGACCTGCGAGCAAGAAGGAACGCCATTGGTACTCCTTTCAAAGCTGAAGAACTTGCTCACTTGACTTGTTTTGATGCCACCAAACATAAGGGTGAGTTACTTGTGTGTTTGGCGACGCTCGCAATGGGAGACTCCTTGGCTGTTGAGATTGCACAGCAAGCGCACGTCAACTTGCTGAAAAACAAGGCTGGGTGCATGCGCCCAGAGGAGTGTTTGCTTTATCGACAGCCCATTCCCAGAGGCTCCTTCTTTGAGCTCCTGACGATTGACGACCACATAGGGCTCCAAAAGTTGAAGGGTCATTCTAGTGAAGACGGTCCTGCAACCAGGGACCTCGCAGTTTTTACAGCAGCAAACAAAGCCTATGAAGACGTGGGTTTGACCGCACACCCAGGGAAGAAGCAGCGTCGGGTCGCTCACACCACAGTACTTGGCGCTGAACTTGATGGCTCACGAGGCAGAGTGTCTGCTCCCCGAGGGAGGATGGCCATGCTGTGTTTCATCACTTCAGTGGTCGTGCAGAAAGGCATTGTGACCAGGAAACTTCTTCAAGGGCTAATCGGCTGTTGGACACACGTGTTACTCTTCAGACGACCAGCATTTTCAATACTAGACAGAGCATATCACGAAGGTGCTGAATTTCATGAAGACCTCGTGTTTCACATGTCCAAGCAGTGCAGGGCTGAGTTGATGGTCCTTTGTTTGGTTGCACCCACTTTTCAGACCGACATGCGGGCAGGAACAGCCCCTTTTGTCTACATGCTTGATGCCTCACCGTTTGGTGGGGGTATCTGCCGAGCAGCCATGCCGTCAGTTGCTGTTGGTGAATTCTGGAGGCACTCGGAGCAGAGAGGGTTCTATACAAAGTTGCAGCAGGGAGCTGGGTTGGCGTTGAGGGAACTTGGGCTTGAGCATTGCGAGGCATTTGGAGAGTCCGAATTTGCAACCCAATCCGTTGTTGCCCCTTTACCCGACAAGCTCGTTCGGTCGTTGCGTGACAATACAGTCGTGTTTGATTGCATCGAACTGTTTGCAGGCGTTGGCAACTGGAGTCAAGCTCACGCTCGCAGAGGCTTGAGAGTTCACCCTGGGATCGAGCGCTCTGCAGTCGGGCGTGGGTATGGTGACCTTTTTGACAATCAGACGTTCAGGGACCTTGCCAAGCTTGCATCAACCGGTGCCGTTCGAGAATGGCATGCAGCTCCGCCATGCTGGTCTTTCGGTACGCTTAGGAGACCAAGACTGAGGTCGAAGCGTTGTCCCGCAGGTTTCGACCCGGCGGATCCGGTAACCACTTCTTGCAGTTCGAACGGCGTTCATTTTGTTTCTTGCTTTCACTAGCGGCTGTTACATTTCTTGTGAGCAGCCTGGTGGATCGGTCATGTTCTTGTTGGACGTCTTTCAAAGGCTGTTAGAGGCTGGTTGTTATATTACCAAATTCTGCTTCTGTTCATACGGATCTGGTTTTCAGAAGGCTAGCAAATGGCTTCACAATAAGCCTTGGTACAAGTTGTTAGGTGGCTCTTGCACTTGTCCTTTCAGGGGTCGGCATTTTACAGTTCAGGGGACCTTTACAAGACAGAGCATTGAGTTTTTTGAGACTAGATGTCGGCCTTCAACGTCGGCAGTGTATGGGAGGAGACCCAAACCTGGTGATGCCGTAAGCGCTTACGCGGCCAGCTATCCGATTCCCTTGTGTGAGGCAATGAGCGCTGGCAGTTGGAAGGCGCATCAGACTGGCGGTTCACGGGCAGATGAGGCCTCTTCCGACGGACCGACTGACCGGGAGGTCTTTGACACACAGACTGGTTTGCGCCCATGGCATGACGATCCGGAGTGGATTGAAGACCTCTGTGAAGGGGTCGAGTTCAAAGAACTGTTCCGCTACCGCTTCAAACAGTCTGGGCACATTAACTGTCTTGAATGTCGGGTGTACAAGTCGTGGTTGAAACATGCAGCCAAAACACATTGTCGAAGTCGTGTGTTGGGATTGTTGGACTCACGCGTGACAATGGGAGCGGCTGCAAAGGGGAGGAGCAGTAGCCCGGCTCTAAGTCGGATCCTGCGTGGAACACTAGGCTATGTGCTTGGAGGCTGCCTTTATCCAGGCACTTTACACTGTCGTTCTCAATGGAATAGAGCTGACGGCCCGTCCAGAGACAGTGCCGTGCCTGGGCCGTCCAGGCCAGAGCCTCCTTGGTTGGGTGATTTGCGCGAGGGCAAATTTGACTTGTTCGATCGCATGGTCGAGTCTTGCACTTGGATACGTCCGCTTGGTCGATGGTACCGCTTGCTCCTGTTGATCGCTGGCGATGTTGAACAAAACCCCGGCCCGTTGACCTCAAAGGGGCTACAAGCTCGGGGTGATCTTAACTTGCTCGGCGGGTTTGCACGTGCGACCTCTGACAGGATGGCAAAATGCTTGAAGGCCTTTGCAGCCTGGTGTGAAGACCATGTGGGCCTTACGTTGGAGCAAGTGTTGGACAAAGTTGAGACCACCGATTTAGCCCTAAAGGCATACGGTTTGAGCCTCTTTAAGCAAGGGTCCCCACGCTACATGCTGGTGTATGCCATTACGGCTGTTCAACAGGTGAAACCAGAATTTCGGCGCCACCTCAGTGGCGCCTGGCAGGTGGACAAGAAATGGCAGCTTGAAGAACCAGGGTCTTGCAGGGCAGTTCTTTCCGCGCCTGTGTTCCGGGCCATTGTGGCCTTGGCGTTGTTGTGGGGGTGGCAGAGTTTTGCAGGACTTGTCGCGCTAGGATTCGGAGGCATGCTTCATCCGAATGAGTTCATTTGTTTGAGGCGACGTGACGTCATTTTTCCTGAAGACACCTTGTTGGAACAGAAAGCATTGTACATCTTCATTCGCAATCCTAAGACCGCCAGATTTGCACGAAAGCAACACGTGAGGATTGATGATGAGTCGATACAGCTTTTGGTCAGATGTGTCTTTGCGCATGTGGAACTTGAGTCGCCTCTGTTTAGCGCTTCAATAGCCGTCTTCCGGCGCCAGTGGAACGCGATTTTGGACCGTCTTGAAGTGCCCCGGCGACAAGCCGAAGGCGGTGCTACGCCGGGTACCCTCCGAAGATCTGGCGCCACTCACGAATACCTCCAGTCGACTGATATTCAAAGCATCCAGTGGCGTGGTCGTTGGAATCAGCTTCGAACGTTGGAGCATTACATCCAAGAGGTCGCTGCACAATTGTTCCTCTTCAATTTGTCAGTGACCGCCCGGACGCGAATCCTCGATTTGAGTTCCAATCTTGGTTGCATTCTTCAGTGGTTGTTTCCATCTGATTTTCAGACATTTGTTGCACAGCAGGAGGTTAGGAGTGGAAGTTGACAACAACATTGGTTGAGCATTGAACAACTGTTGAGCATTG